CAAGTGCTCTTCCAAAAGGAATACTCTGTTCTTCTTCCTCCAAGGAAGACTTTTCTTTGGATTCATTCTCTAGCATACTTGGCTCTAGGATGGCATTATGATTATGCCCCCTGCAGAGAGAGCCTCTCATTAGTCTTTGTCCTACTCTGATTCCAAACCCTGACATTCACACCAATGCAAGGACCCATCAAAGGTATTGGTTTCTGTCTTACTCCTCCCAGTAGCTCATCATGATCCACTGACAACTGGTCAGACACCATGACCCTGTAGGGCACCAGACTGGGAGGGGACAGTTTAAATAGCAACCAGTGACAATTTGTTTTTTAAACAGCAAAACTATAATAACATAACTTAATGCTGAATCAAAGAAAATAGAGTCAAACTCTGAACCAATTTGATTTGCAACTTGGAATAAAAGCAACGTGTCTTGATTTAAATGTCAGGCCCACCGCTGAGTGATGATTTAATAACTTTTATGAGGGATCTTGTCACAGCAAATTCAACAGTGGAATAGAATGACTCACAGATAGAATGTTAGAAATGATACAAAAGAGCACAAAAAGGAACAGGCTTATTGCAGGGATCATCCTGGAGCTTTAGCATAAAGCTAATTTGCAGTTAAGACCGCTTCTCTCCCCTTACCCTGCCACGCAGTTCTTCTCTTCATAGGTATCTATGCATGTATGTGCAGACAATCCACCTGTGTGGTGTCAGATCACTGCAGTTTTTTTTTTTTTTTTTTTTGAAGACATAGGCCCTTGAACTACTGCAGTATGGAGGCTCAGTGTCAGTACATTTAATCTGAAAGGCAAGGCAACAGTTTGGCTATTTCTCAAAGGGACCTCAAGAGATAATCTGGTCCTCTTGCTCTGTCTTTTGGCAGGTACTTATCCATTTTCTCCCATTTAAATAGGAAGATTGTTGAGATGTAGTGGGGTTAAGAGATTTCCTTAAAGGCTCCCATCTCCTGATTCCCAGAGAAATAGTGCTTCCTCCTCAGTACCTGGTGAGACTCTCTCCTTGACTTTCCCCTGCTTCTGTGAGATAGAATACTAGAATGTTCTAGCCTGACTATCCCCAGCAAGCTTCCACATCAATAAGGAACCACACAGTTGTTCTTATGGGAGATAATTACATTCTGTTGAGCTTATCTATCAGGTATCTAGATTCAGTTCAGAGGAAATTGAAAGCATAAAGATCTCATTTTTGCCTAGAGGAGTGTTGCTTAACCTTGAAAACATTAACATTTTTGGCCAGATCATTCTTCATCGCGGGAGGCTGTTTTACGTCTTGTTAGATATGAAGCAGCTTCCCCGGTCTCGGTTCCCCTGGCTTCTGCCTATCACATGCAACTGCCTCCGATCTCTTTACAGAGCTTTTAGGTTAATCTTCCCAAACCACACCTCTAATGCAATGGGCCTTATTGTACAACAACTTGAAACTTGTAATCTGCCGTTCCGGGGGATATTTGGAAATGTCTGTTGATAGTTAGGGTCCCACAAAGCGCATGATCACACCATGCACATGGATCACATATGACAAAAAATTTTTTCAGACCAAAATGTCCATAGTATCAAGGTTTTGAAACCTTGTTCTAGTGTCTCATTCTCTGATCAGAGACTTTCCCTTGCTCTCCACTGCTTCCGGGCAATATAATAGATCCCATGGTGCTTTCTGGTCTGAAATCAGCATATATTTGCCAACTACAGCACTGTTTCTGAAATAGGAAGTCTACATTCTTATATAACTTTGCTCACACCAATTATAACCTCTGCCTAGAATGCCCACTTCCCAATACTAAGACCTTACCTTAGCCTGGAATCTCCCAGTTACAAATAATTCCTCTTTCTCTGGATGGTCCTGTAGTCTTTTATTCACATGTAAGGGGCTTTTAGAAATCTCTCTAGTGAAATTCCCTTCACTTAAAGAAAAGGAAATCGGTGCTCATTAGGTGAAGTGATTAGTTGAGACATCATACTTTCCCATAAAACATATCATTGGCTTCACTCTCCTGGAGGGGTTGAAATGGATGATTGTGGTATTTCATCCCTGGCATCAAATCTCACCTCTAAAGTTTGTAAGTTGGCCAAGTCATCTACCTTTCTGAAACTCAGTTCCCTCAGCTGTATAAGGAAATAAAGTATGGCTGTTATGAGAATCAAATGAGACAGTGCATTCAAAATGTTTGACACATAATAGGTACTTAGTAAGTATTTGTCAGATGAATAGAAGAACCAATCATACTTCAAGGACTAGGATTTAAGGATTGGTGATGACTCCTGGTACTTATCTAAAAGGTGATTGAAAGTAAAGGGTGGCAGTTCATTGCCACTCTTCCCTACCTTCAGGCTTCTGTAAAAAAAAAAAAAAGGAGTTCCTCTGTGGGCCATCACACCAGAGTCCCAGCTTTGTGTGAAGTAGGTGAGTACTAACAGCAACTCTCATATTGGAAATGCAGTTCTTAAAAGGCCTGCTGCCCCTCCCCCTCCTTTTGCAATGCTAGTGATCCCACCCTTCTGTTCCCTCAAGCAAGTAACAGGTAGAGCTGTGGGGAGGGGGCTAGAAAGAAGATAGACTCCCTCTTTTCCTCCTTGGTTTCCTGTGTGGCAGCAGCCTGGGGCTTAGATGCAATTCAGTGTCCTAGTAGGAATCTCTCTAAGAGGGAACTTGGAGTGCACTTCGGGTGGCAATGAGAGCACTTAAATATTGGCTCTTAGCCCAGTGATATGTAGTTCTGACTTGACTTCAATAAGGTTTATTGAGGCCTTTCTAGCCAGATTTTCACTCTCTAGCTGCCCATTCTGTCAGCTTTTTTCCTGCCTAGGGCTTTGGGGTAATGGCATGCTATGCATTTATTCCTTTCATTTACAGAAACAAGTCTTTCCCTGGTCCCAGGGTGCATGTACCTAATAGAAATATCCCTGCTACTCTAATGAGGGGATGACCTGACAGGCAACTGAAGAAACAGAATGAACCTTCTAATGCCTTGTCTAGACTGGATTGGGAGCATGCCAGGGAGGAGGTAGCTGCTCGACAGTGGGCCCACCCCAGAGCAGATTCCTGCCTCTTCTGCCATGTCAGCACAGGAGGGCTTGGTTGGAGGGAATTAGGAGAGAAGCTCAGGTGAGTATATTACAAATTGATCTAGTAGTTTCCTCTTTGGGTTCACAAGTCAAGGGTCCTATAAGGGCAAAATGACTTTTGGGAGGTTGAGAAAACCAGTAGAGGGCAGAGCACCAGAGTGAGCATTAGAAGACTTGTATTAGACCCCCACCTTTCCCGCTCTGTGTCTGAGAGCTTTCCAAGGGCTTTAAATCTACCCCCCTCTTCGAGGATTTCATTTTTTTCATAGCTTTTGTGGTCTGCCTCTGACCATGATTTTGAGGGTCCATAGGACTTCAGGATGTTACATGGCTGCCTCAGTCTATTGATAAAGTGCTATCTCCTCTGAAGAACTAAGCTTTCACACTTGTTATGGAAGGGGATAAGGGGTTCACCCCCTCATTCAAGTATGGAAGGAAAGAAAGGCACTATTGAGGGTTTATGAAGAAATTTGACTTAGGGAGGTCAGGGAATGCTTCACTGAGGACTAAACGATTGAGCTGAGCTCTGAAGACTGCGTGTTCACTAGGCAAAGAGGGTGGTGAGCAGTGTAGGTGTACATGTGGGCATGCAGTAAACATTTTAGGCAGAGGAAAAAGAATGTGAATAGGTCTTACAATGGAAAGGAACACAGTTCATTCCAAAAACAAGTAGAATACTACTATAGTAGGTTTTATCACTTTCATTCAAAATGTAAGCCATAGGTTTAGGTGTTGAAGGTGGAAAACACAAGTGTTCCCGTCTTTGAAGAATTGGGATAAATCACATATACTGAGCGCCCACTATGGACAGAGCATTGGAAGCATTAGAAAGAAATACATTTGCACTTTGACCAACACCCTGGGAGGAGGTAAAGAGCAGTTGAAAAATACGTGATAGGCAAATCTTCTTCCCAGCGTTTCATCTAGGCATGTCTGGTGTAAGGGGTATATAGACAAATTTCCACAGGGCTGCTTGTTTGGTGCTGAGTCCTGAGTAGTGTTCCAAGGAAGATATGCATTAGTGAATAAAAGGAAAGAAGCTGTTTCCAGCAAGAGAGACAGCATGAGTGATGACTTGAGGGTAGAAAGACTATTTCTGAGGTGGTACATTTGGGATAGACTAGTCTGGTTTGAATGGAGAAGTATAGCAGTCCAACTTGGGGCCAATCTTAGACTTTGTATATGGCATTCCAGCTAGCCAATTCAAAGGATGACAATTAAGGTTCACTGGATACCATGTGAAAAGAGAGAACTCATTATTCAAAAGTAATTAGTCATGAAGAGCAATCTTGTCATCTCAACCGAAGATCAATCTTGACTGTAGTCAGTACCAGGTTTCTGCAAGACTGGAGGTCCGTGCAAGCCACTGCATGCCTTTTTTTCTCAGAATTCCTGCAATTTGGTATCACTGGGCATGTACCCCAATTTGTGGAGTCCTGAAGTCCAAGTTAGATTGAACATGTGACTTCAGCTGTCAGTTGTTACTTGGATCTCTAACTCTACCACTTTGGAGCTGTGTGAGTTTTTGTCATTAACCTGCGCCTTGGCTGCTTCATCTTATGTAAAACAGGAATAATAAGAGCATCTAACTCATAGAGGTACTATAAAGATCAGTGGTATGTGTGTCTGAGGAGCTTAGCATAGTCCCTGACACGTGATCAAGATGTTCTTGTCTCATTGCCACTAGCGCCACCACCACCGCCACCACCCTCACCACCCCCAGGTTCCTACTGGAACATAATAATAACATTTTATAACCTCTTGCTAAAGCAAATACCAGTCATCAGCAAGGGAGGAAAGGAGGAAATAGGAAACACAGCCGCAGTCACTGTTTCCTACTGGCTTTAAACCTAACATTGCAAAAAGGAAGTGTGAACAGACACCCCAACCTTCATGACTCTGTCCCTGTTTCTACAGGTACCTGCCAGCTTGGCTGGGCATATTACTGTGCTGGAGCCGGAGCCGCTGCTGCCATGTTGATCTGCACCTGGCTCTCTTGCTTTGCTGGAAGAAACCCCAAACCTGTCATGTTGGTGGAGAGTATCATGAGAAACACCAACTCCTACGCCATGGAGCTTGACCAATGCCACAAACCCTGACCTTTGGCAGAAGATTGGAGGGGGTGGGAAGGAGCCCTGAAAAAGAGGTACTAAGATTAAGCCAGTTGTCACCCACCTGCCAGTAGTGTAGCCTGGCGTTTGCATGCTTTTAAACTCGCCATTTATTTACACTTTCCCATAAGCCAGTGGATCAGTGGCTATTTACAAAATTCATCAAGAAAAAATGATTCTCTCAAATGTTTGCTTAGCTGGTGAGTACCCACGAGCCCCCAAGTCCCGAAGTGCTCCTTTATGCAAAATAAGGAAAAGGTCCTCATTTGAAAAGTAATTGCACTATCAAGCAGCACTACAGAGCGTTATAGCTCCTGTCTACCACTCACTCCAAAGCTTACAGGCTTGGTAAGAAAACACACGCACAGGGAGGGCCCAGGAGGTGACAGGGCTGGTTCCTACCACTCCATTCATACAGCCCTCCCCTGGGTATTTATTACTAAACACCCATGGAGTGCCACTGCTCCAACTTTTGTGACTTTCTCAGAACTATACCATTACTGTTACTGTTTTTTCCTGCTTCCTTCCTCTCCAGTTGTGGGGAAGCTTGTGGTGAGGGTGACTCCCAGTGAGGGGATCACTAAGCAAGGATGCTTGCAGATAGGCCAAGACCCCTTCCTCATTTTGCTTTAGAATATGTATAAGAGTTCATTTTGCATTCTACCTGGGTGACTGGTGTCAAAATATAGTGGCAGGTATTCCCTAATCCCTTATAGTGTCGGAAATGATATTCATCAAATGTTCTGAGCAGAGGTTAGCATTTGTTGTGCATTCAATAAACACAAATTCACAATGATGATGACAAGGATGTTTGTGTTGGCTCCTCATTGAAATTTCCGCCAGAGTCATTTTTATTGGCTAGGAAATCAACAGCGGCCTTTGGCCCCGAAGTCATTCCTAGCATGATATAAGTTTCCCCACCTGTTCAAAGAATGCTCATCAAATGTTTTTCCCTCCATCTGGGGTGAGTTAGACATGAAAGAACACAGCCCTGATGTCACATAGGGATGATGTATTTTTAGGTCTGGCCTCTATCCCATCTGTGCTCAAGGCTGACGGATGGTGTAGGAGAGTTTGGAGTCTCTTGGGGGCAGACTATGTTTCAAAACACCATCCCCCAATTAATTTAGGCCAGTTCTATTGTTAAATAGCTTCAGCTTTAGGGACTAGGGAGGGCCTGTGATTCAAAAGGCCAGCTTATCTGTTTCTATTGTTAATCACTCCAGAGTGGCTTATTGTTAATCACTTCCAGGCTTCCTACCTGGATGGAGAGCAGCAGCAAAAACTATCCTCATTAGTTATATGGTACGCAAGGAGGGGTCAGGTCCTTATATCAGCCTATGTAGATGATGAATTCAAACATATATTCCATTCATGAGCTCATCCATTCAGCCACTCATACAGGACACATTCCTGGGTATCTACTGTATGTCACATTCTGCACTAATTACTGGGGATAAAAGAATGAAAATATGGTGTCTTACCCTAAAAGAGACAGTGTGGGGTATTGAAAGCAACATAAATAATTGCAAACATGTCACATGCTAGTAAGTAAAGAGGAGGGGGCTGAAGGGTCAAACACAAGGGCTGTTAACCCAATTAAGGATAGAGGAGTTTATGGGAAAGTTTTCTAGAGAGGATGATACCTGTGATGCATCTGAGAGCTGAATAAGGGAGTAGGTTAGCCATGGCAGAGTAAACTAGACAAAGAGCAGGGAAAGCAGAGGCCTGGTGACAAGGACGAACATGGTACCATCATGAGACTAATGCATAGGGGGTATAAAAATGGCCGTGTCAAAAACCGAAGTTGAAAAGGGAAGTGCTAGGGGCTTCCCCTGGTGGCGCAGCAGTTGAGTGCTGGGCTGAGAGGCTGCCCACAGCCTCTGCAGCGCCATTTCGATCCCCGGCCACCGAGGAGGATCCCATATGGCGCGCAGACCTCTCCTGCCGCGCCCACTGCTCACCTCAGCAGTGTATTTCGTCGGTCTGCTTGCTGTGTTCCCCACTCTGGCTCTGGTGAATTCTCTCACCCTCCCGTGCTTCTGACTGTACCCAATAAATAAATGTTGTTTAAAAAAAAAAAAAGGAAAGGAAAGTGCTAGTCAGATCCTGCGGAGCTTTCTGCAAGAGGGTGAGGAGTTCAGATTTTATTCTAAATGAGGGCCATTGAAAAGGAGATGAAATGAACACCGATGTGTTTTCTCAAAGGTCAGCTTAACTAAAGAGGGGAGAAAGAAAAAGACTACTAGAGATTTCAGTAACTGAGGTGTGTGGTGACCCAGCCCTCTGGAGTAAGGTGGTTTCTAGGACCAAGATGGGGACTACTAGAAGAATAGATGATTGAATCCATGTCAAGTGTTATCTCCCTCATGGAACTGGGTGGTGTACTGAAGGAAAGGCAAGTTGAACATACTTCTCTGGGTGAGAAGCAATGAGATTGGGTTTACAATACCACCTTTCTCCAGGAATGATGACTAAGAACAGGTAAAACCAAAATAGAACAGGTGCAAACCACATTATTATTGTGTGACATGATAATGCATTCATAACTGAGGAGAGCCCAATATGTGGGGAATATGTCAAACACTTGAGAAAAAACAGATTACACTCCTGAAAAAAGGAAGTTGGATCAGATCATCTCTCTTAGGCTGAGGAATTCTCTGGAATTGAATTCGTGGGCGTGATATAATTGTTTAAATGAGGGTTTAAATGAGGAGACAGAAGTCATACTTGAGGGGTTTCACTGAGAAGAGTTAATGAAGGGGCCATTTATGGTGGCATCGATAGGATTAAGGTAATTTACAAGTGATAGGAGGCACAGAGACTGTTCTCTCTCCTAATACTGAGAAAGCAAGGGGAAAAAGGGGCCTCAATGGAACCAGCAAGAACTATACCATTGTGAGAGGGGCCACCTGATAAGAGCTGTGGCTTCAGGGAGCACAACCTGCCCAAATGCAACACGACTGGGAGAGAAAGAGCAGGCCCTGAGCTCTATATCTCCCTCTCTCTCCACTCTCAGGTTTCCAGCCAGTGCCCACCATGAGGCAGACCCAGCCAGATGCCAGCTGGCAAGGAAGCCTGTTGCTATAGTCTATTGAGGTCAGTCTCCTTTGGCACAAAGGATGGCATTAAAGGGCAGAGAATGGACATTGGGGGTGAGAGGGACAAATGGAAAATAACAGCTCAGTGAGTGTTCTTAGTCCCTGATACTACCATTCCCTTTCACATTGCTTCCCAGGAAGCTTTGTTGTCTGCTATGGTCCACATATCAACAGACCGTGAGAAAGCCACACCCCAGAGAGGAGATGGAGTCTCATTCAAAAGAACCATTTAAAATAACACTCACCTTGGATAAGGTACTAGTTAATTGAAATGTTTCCTCATCTTTTCCAGGGAAAAGGACTTAAACTTAAAAGGGATTTTTTTTTTTTCTATGAAGAAACCAGGCCTGCAGGGGTTTATATTCAAAGAGGGATCCAGCCCCTTGTTCAATTTCATTTTAAATCCCTCCTTGCTCTGTCTAGTTTCTTTCCTACAGGCTTTGTTTTTGCATAGAGGTCTGACTAGCCTGTTTTTCACCCTGTGACATGGAGCAGGCCCTTGGAAGCTCAGCGGGTACTTCTGTGGCTGCTGTTGAATGGAGAGTCCATTGCTCTGGACTGGAGGAGGATGAATGAGTGAAATGAGACCCTCAGAGACTGCTTGTCCTCTGCTCACTGGCTATCCTGGTCCCTGCCTGAACACACAGATGGAGTGCCTGGCCACAGGTCCTTTCTGATGCTTGGAATCACTTAGATCTTGGGGGCAGGTGACTAAGTGTTTCTTAAGAGTCCATTTAGTAGGACATTTCTTTCAGGAAAGAATATAGATGAGCAGCAAATGCCCAATTGGCACGTCTTTGTGTCAGTAGGGTTACAATTCCTCCCCTGGTGTGCAAGGGTTAAGTCACTCAGGTCTGTGCTAAGTGATGCTGTCTCCCTCCTATCACCCCTCATTATCCCTGTTTCCGGTGGAGCAGCTGCCTCCATTCCCTAAAAGCTGCTGGTGATTGCCTTGCACTGTGTTCCCACCTTCTACAAGCAGGTGCCTCGAACCAAGATGGGCATGCCTTGGCCTCTGGGCAAGGGAGTTCTGGCATCTGTAAGAGGAGGTGGCAATCTGAAGTTTGGGCTGAATGAGGGGGAAGCCACAGGAGGAGGAGAGGGTGAGGAAGCGCTGGGCTTTCTAAACTGTCCAACAAGTTGTACACTCTTCGAGTGTGACACGGAATACTTTTATCAGTCTGGCACTCCCTCTTGGCAGAAATACTAATGCAGAAAAGCTACAGGATTGTATTTGGCATGGCAGCCTGTCGGTGGGAAAAATATGGAAGTTTCAAGAAGAAGAATAGTGAATGTGTTTTGCAAGATGGAAGGCATCCCACTAGGTGGCTTAAGGGGAAAGGTAGGTTATTTCTAGAACTTGAAATCAATCTCCAACATGCTTAGTAAAGCTTCCTTAGCAAACAGGAGGGAGGACCGTTCCACGGAGTCATCTTCACTCTGTGTCCTTGGTTTAAAAGCATTTTCTGAGCTGCGGGGGGCCTGAGGTTAAAGGATATTTATTATTGGCCTCTTTCAGATGTAGAGCTATGCATTTTCAGCTTCAATTTTCATTTTGTCTGCTTATGAGATTAGGCTCTCCCAGTGTTGATCTCTTCTCTAAACGCATTGAACCCCCACTGAGTCCTCAAAGCTAACAGCAAATAAACAGTTGCTATGTGTGCACACAAATGATTTAGGTTTTCATTATACAGAGCTGCTTATATGTCAGGAGGCAGAAGTAGGAGAGACAAATGCTTGGTTTTGACTGCAGTGTTGTAGCCTGCTCCTTCCTCCTGCTCCAGAAAAGGAGGCCCCTGGGAACAGTACTTGAGAGAAGGGGGCATTGAGGCCAGCTGGCTTCTAGGAGGGCAGCCCACGATGTTGGCTCCCTTTCATGTAGTGCCTCTACTTCTGGGAGAGGTGGTGACAACTACAGAAAGGAAACCAAATTGGTAGAAAAATCAAGGGGAAGAAAGAAGGGTGGACAAAGAGGCAAATGCTGGAAACATTCCAGAGATACATTGCCTCCTCCCACATGTGGTCTATTGGAATCTCATTTGGAGAACTTTGAATTAATTTCTATGATATCTCTTTGTATCTTCTGTGCTGACATGCTGCCCTCCTAGACAACATGGTAAAGTGAAGGCAATCTGAGTTTTGGGCTCAAATTAAGATTTGAATCCCAGCCCAAACATGTCCTAACTGTGTGTCTTTGGAGAAATTAATTAGCCCACTTCTAGAGGTCTAATTTAATTGGTTTAATTGTTTCTAAGACAACATCTCCTAACCACTGTTTGCTTTCACACTCCCCAGGAGCTATAGAAGCGTTTGCTATCCAGTGGCCCCATACCTCTCAGCTTGTACTGATTACTCTAACACACTGATTTTTAACTCTGGTTTATATTAGAATCCTCTGAGGAGCTTTTAAAAATGTTTCATGCCTATGCTTCACCCACAATTCAATCGAATCAGAATTTCTGGGGTGTTACCCCGTGTTCATTGTTGATATCATATGCTGGCCTCCTAGCCCTCTTGTACTTATTGATGTCATTCACTGAAGACCTGACTTGCTCCCTTCTTTTTCATTCCTATTTCTGTCATCCAACTTCAATATCTATGTGAACCACTCTGTTCATTTCTTGGCTTCTAAGTTCTTTGACTCCCTTACCTGCAATGATATCTTTACACTACCCACCCTCTGCCACTTCCACT